TGGACAGATTGGAAAATTCAATAATAAGTTTCATTTTTAATATATCCTTGTGTCATTTTTTTCCTTGTGTTCAAGTTTTTTTATATTTTAAAACATAAAATATCTTAATATGTCATTTTATTTTTAATATTTCATTTTATTTCAGTTTGCATCTAGTGCTATTATACGGTTATTTTTAAAATATCATATTTATACTTTTTTGCATTAGGTTTTTCCGTCCAATGGCTCACCATTGGCCGACGCTGGTCGTGTGCGATGCTGGCCAATGGTGAGCCTGCGTTCTGACGGAAAAAGCTAATGCAAAAAATTATAAATATGATATTTTAGAAATAACAGTATAATAGAACTAAATGCAAACTGAAATAAAATGAAATATTAAAAGTAATTTTTGTGACGCAGAAGCGCTACGTTGTTACAGATGAAGAGTTGAATAAAGTCTTTATTTTTGTGTGTTTTTTTGCGCACAGAAAGTGTTCTCTTCGCTTGATAATCTTGAAGGAGTAGTTCACTTTTAAAAAAACTTTTGCTGATAATTTACTCACCCCCATGTCATCCAAGATGTCCATGTCATTCTTTCTTCAGTCGAAAAGAAATTAAGGTTTTTGATGAAAACATTCCAGGATTTTCTCCATATAATGGACTTCAATGGGGTCCAAACGGTTCAAGGTCCAAAAGACAGTTTCAATGCAGCTTCAAATTGTTCAAAGGGCTTTAAACGATTCCAGACGATGAAGAAGGGTCTTATCAAGCGAAGCGAAACGATCACTCATTTAAAAAAAATAAATAACAAAGTTTAAGTTTTATAAGCTTAAATGGTCACCTTGCTCTGTTCTGTGATTAGTGTTCCTGACTCCTGTTCGAACTCATTCATCAAAATGAACAAATCTTTTTTCGTGTCATTTGGTTAATTCAACGAACGAAATGAAAGAGTTGACTCGGGGAAAAGTTCGTTCATTTTGATAAACGATTTCGAATAGGAGAGTCACAAACGCGCATCACAGAACAGAGCAAGGCGACCATTTTGTTATTTATTTATTTAAATGAGCGATCGTTTCGCTTGATAAGACCCTTATTCATCGTCTGGAATCGTTTAAAGCCCTTTGAACAGTTTGCAGTCTGCATTGAAACTGTCTTTTGGACCTTGAACCGTTTTGGACCCCATTGAAGTCCATTATATGGAGAAAAATCCTGGAATGTTTTCATCAAAAACCTTCATTTCTTTTCGATTGAAGAAAGAATGACGTGGACATCTTGGATGACATGGGGGCGAGTAAATTATCAGCAAAAGTTTTTTTAAAAGTGAACTACTCCTTTAAGCTTGAGCCGCTGTCGTCACACACACTATTTTAACAATGTCTTTAATAACTTTCTGTTCCGGCAAGTTTAATTTACAACAGAAGCCTATGGAGGAGTGAGACAGCTCTCAGATTTAATCACAAATATCTGAAGATGAAGGAAAGTCTGACGGGTTGACCTGGGTTGTGTTTTGGGGAACTAACGCTGATGTGATTGTTGTGGTTCTGTGTGTGTCAGTGGTGGAGGATCTGCGCTTGGCTCTCGGGAGGATGGAGAGTCGAGTGTCGGCGCTGGAGAAGCGGTCATCGGCTCCGACCGTTAACGGGACCGGGCCCCAGAAAGCCTCGTCTGCTCCGCTGAAAGAAGAGGAGGATGAAGAGGAGGATGACATCGACCTGTTCGGCAGCGATGAAGAGGTGGACGAGGAGGCCGAGAGACTGAAAGAGCAGCGGCTGCAAGAATACGCCGCCAAAAAGGCCAAAAAACCCGTCCTCATCGCAAAATCATCCATCCTGTTAGACGTCAAACCTGTGAGTGATATTAGAGTCTGTTTGCTGAAGCCTTCGCTAACGTCCTGGTTTGAGGACGGCGATAGGATTGCAGGAATGGTATCATCCCTATTCTTATAATGGCATCATGATATTATTGATTTTTAATTCTATATACATAATAAAAATAGTGATGCATGACCTGAACATGTTCTTGATTGAATAGTGAACACCTTATAGACCATTTTGCAAGATGTAAACAACACTGGTCCAGAAGCACTTCCTGTTTCAGTTTTTTAACACTACATAAAAGCTGGGATAAAATACAACCAACAGAACATTTAAAACTGAATCAAAAAGTTAAACAAACATCTTTAAGATTTTTTCTTTACATGTGAAATAAAGAAAACAGTTACAAACTGAAACAGGAAGTGCTTCTGGACCAGTGTTTACATCTTGTGAAATGGTCTATATAGCAACCACTTAGAAACAACCTCGAAAATGCAAAGCAACACCCTAACTACCACCACGAACACAATAGCAACCAGTGTTATTTCAGTATTATTTAATGTAGAGTATTATAGTATTTATTCAAATTTTGAATTAGTTGGGGGCTGGGGGGGGGGTAATAATAAATTATTGTTATTTATTATAATAAATTATCACTGGAAATAATTTAAAATTTAATTTGGTAACAATAACAATACTAATAGCCATTAACCCAGGCAGCAACCTTCCAGAACACCCCAACAACTGCCTAGCAACCATCCAGAACACCCCAACAACTGCCTAGCAACCATCCAGAACACCCCAACAACTGCCTAGCAACCATCCAGAACACCCCAACAACTGCCTAGCAACCATCCCGAACACCCTAGCAACTGCCTAGCAACCATCCAAAACAAACCAGCAGTTATCTAGATCTCTCTAGCAATGCCCTAACAACCACCCAGTGCAACCTAGCAACTGCCTAGCAACCATCCAGAACCAACCAGCAGTTATCTAGATCTCTCTAGCAGTGCCCTAACAACCACCCAGAACACCCTAGCAACTGCCTAGCAACCATCCAGAACAAACCAGCAGTTATCTAGATCTCTCTAGCAATGCCCTAACAACCACCCAGAACACCCTAGCAACTGCCTAGCAACCATCCAGAACAAACCAGCAGTTATCTAGATCTCTCTAGCAATGCCCTAACAACCACACAGAACACCCTAGCAACTGCCTAGCAACCATTCAGAACAAACCAGCAGTTATCTAGATCTCTCTAGCAATGCCCTAACCACCCAGAACACCCTAGCAACTGCCTAGCAACCATCCAGAACAAACCAGCAGTTATCTAGATCTCTCTAGCAATGCCCTAACAACCACCCAGAACACCCTAGCAACTGCCTAGCAACCATCCAGAACACACCAGCAGTTATCTAGATCTCTCTAGCAATGCCCTAACAACCACCCAGAACACCCTAGCAACTGCCTAGCAACCATTCAGAACAAACCAGCAGTTATCTAGATCTCTCTAGCAATGCCCTAACCACCCAGAACACCCTAGCAACCATCCAGAACAAACCAGCAGTTATCTAGATCTCTCTAGCAATGCCCTAACAACCACCCAGAACACCCTAGCAACTGCCTAGCAACCATCCAGAACACACCAGCAGTTATCTAGATCTCTCTAGCAATGCCCTAACCACCCAGAACACCCTAGCAACTGCCTAGCAACCATCCAGAACAAACCAGCAGTTATCTAGATCTCTCTAGCAATGCCCTAACAACCACACAGTGCAACCTAGCAACTGCCTAGCAACCATCCAAAAAATGAGAATGATAAAAAAATGTGTGTGTATATATATATATATATATATTAGGAGTGTTACGATACGCATATTCATATTGACCATTTGGTACTTTGAGGCTTTCGTGTTTGGTACGCATTACAAACCGAAACTATTCGGTGCAACCAAAATGGCAAACGTAATGAAAGCGAAACAAACTGCTGTGCCATGATCAACCAGTTATAGGGCGTAAGTCCACAGTTCAGCAACATTCACAATGGCTTTACTGTAGTAACTCTTTACTGTGGCAGGAATAGTAAAATGCTGTAAAGTACGTCACACATCTTTTTCCAGCACTTCAAATCTTATTTTTAATTTGATGACCCAAACATTATTTGTTCATCCTTCAAAGACCCCCCCCCCCCCATTTATAAAACTAAATTATTTAATTATTAAATTATTTTTTTTTAAATAATTATTTAATTATTATCATAAATATATTTTCTGGCATTTCTTTCGTTTTGCTGTATTGAAAACGTAGCGAACCATGTATTTGAGAGCCATTGCAACCCTAATATATATATATATATGGTGTCAGTGCAGGCAGATCAATAATATTGTTGAATATTACATCTAATGAAACAGTGGGACGATGAGACGGACATGAAGAAGCTGGAGGAGTGTGTGCGGTCGGTGCAAGTGGACGGGCTGCTGTGGGGAGCGTCCAAACTGGTTCCTGTTGGTTACGGCATCAAGAAACTGCAGATAAACTGTGTGGTGGAGGACGACAAGGTGGGAACAGACTTCCTAGAGGAGGAGATCACCAAGTTTGAGGACTACGTGAGTAACGTGTGTGTGTGACGTCACCCGTAGTGTTTCTGAAGAGCATTTTTGAAGCCCAAAGCCGGCCATGAGTTATAAAAAAATTCAGCCTCATCACAGTGAAGGGCAAAATTAGCGATATAGACCAAAACCACTTTTTCCACCAGACTGTAAACATGTTTTATTCTGCTGTAAAGTTGAGCGTTTTAACATGCGGCTCTATGGGATTGACTCTGTACTGTAGCGCCTCTAGTGGCCAGTGGAGGAACTGCAGTTTAATCACAGACTGAAGCCGTGAGCGCACAGTTCAAGTGTCATGTAAAGCTTTATGTGTTTGTTTTTGTGTGTTACAGGTTCAGAGTGTGGATGTTGCGGCGTTCAACAAGATCTGACACACATGTAAACACTCACACGCTACCGCTGCTGGACAAATATCGGTTAATAAATGAGTTGGAAATGAATTTTGTCTTGGTCTCTGTGTTTCATTTTCCCACATCTCGTTAAACATGTTTTATTATGCAGGTGATTAGAATCAGCGACAATTTAGAGCACTCGTGTGTAGATAGATAGATAGATAGATAGATAGATAGATAGATAGATAGATAGATAGATAGATAGATAGATAGATTATACATTTACAGTCTCAAATATCATGTTTTCTGGCCTCACTGTTCAGACACCGATGCTTTAAACTAGGAATCATTGAACACTTTAAACACTCCTGGGCAGAACTCATTTTTACATTGTTCTCATGTCAGATAGTTCACTTTTAGTTATTTAAATCTTTTTTTTTGTCATCAAATCAAACCTTGTAAACTGTTGGATCTTACAACACATTAAGTGTCCATTAAGATGCAATAGTTTGATGTTATGCAATACAAATGTCCATTTAACCGATTCTGTCCGTGAATGGGCAGGAAAGAGTCAGATTACAGGATGTGGAATCAGTTTCACGCAGCGGGAGTGCTCGACTCGCGTCTATTTGATTCAATGAACGAATCAATAAAATGAACGGCTTGATCATTAAGAAATTATTTAGCGTTTTATTTTTGTATGTTAAATGTTAATGTTGTTTAAAATTGTAGCGTTAACAGTATTAATATGTAAACGTTTTAATCCGCTGGGTGAACAACACAAGCACGCGAGTCGTGATTCCCGAGTCTGCAAAAGAATCGTTCAGTAATCCAGCAGCTGGATCGAGCTGTTGTGCTGCGCGAGAGCTCCGCTATTTCAGGTGTGTATGTGTGGTTTTTAAATTAAAATCTTTTAGAAATGAGATCAACTGAGATTGTTTTGATTCCTTATTTTGTGGCCTGTTTTGCTGTATTGTTTGAAGATGCTTATCTTTTCCTAATGAATTGCAAATCCTTTCACGAGTGAACTCATGAACTGTGATGCATTTAGTGCAGCTTTGAAAGGCAATGCAACACGAAATGTGTATATATATAAGTTTTATAAAACACGTTTTGCCCTTTTATTTGTATTACTATCAACTATTTGTGTCCTAAATTGTTTGTATGACTCCTTAAAAGTCAAAAACAAAGGGTTTGCTTGATATATATGAGGTGTGTGTTCATGTCTGGGCTTGACAGCAGCTCGACCCCCCAAACCTGCAGCAGTTTTCTGGATCTCTTTGTCTGAACTCGGTTCCTTTGAAGTGTTTTATGGCTCTGTGTGTGTGTGAATGAGTGATGTGTGTGTGCAGGATCATGTTCGTCATGCAGATTCTGTCGGTGTTGCTCATGTTGTTCGTGACTGAAGCTCTCAGCGCTGAACCAGAAGAGAATGAAGTCCTCAAATACTCAGACACACTGGACACACACCAGGTTTGACCCCTTTATATACATTTTAATATTGTTTTTACATTATTTATTTACCTTCCAAATAATACATTATTATGACTTATACACTGTACATCGCAAATCCTCTGCTATTACTCTAGCAATCAGATTCAGACACAACAATGTGTGTGAGAGAGAGTATTGTGTGTGTGTGAGAGAGAGAGTGAGTGTAAGGACTTGTTTTTTGATTTATTTAAATTAAATTCAGTACAACAATGCCATTGTTATACTTATAATCAGTGTTGGGTGTAACTAATTACTAATTTAATTACTTTTCCCTTGAAAATGTAAAGTAAGGGATTACTCTTCATTTATCTGTAATTTAATTACAGTTACTTCTGATGTAATTGAGGTAAATACTGTGTATAGATCAATCCGATCTCACAGCGATTCGTATGCATTTTATGAGGCGTCTAAATATTACGACCGCACTCGTACAAATTCGTATGAATTATTGTAAAATATGTATGAAAAAAGTGTGAAATATCATGAGATCAGACATCAAACAATAGTGGGTTTAACATCAAAATGTATTGTCTGATGCTAAAAAGTATGTTTTTATAATGTAACCTTCTCCACCTTGGTCAGTTTAAGGATAATTCATGCAATTTTATAGTATTTATTTGAAAGAATTAACAGATTCATGTCTATCCTTGTATTATTCAGCTGGTTGAGATTGATATGGGATTTTGAAAGTAATTAGTAATTAAAAGTAATTAAATACTTTTTAGAGAGAGTAATTAGTGCAATAATCTAATTACACTGTTCAAGAGGTAATTAGTAACTAGTAATTAATTACTTTTTTAGAGTAACTTACCCAACACTGCTTATAATGTACTTTACAATTTGCATAATATATTATTATTTTCCTACATTACACTCGGATAATTGGGGAGGGGGTGATGGGCTTTATTCTCTTAATGCTATGAAATATCAATATACTTTTTTTAAATAACATGATATTTTTATGTGTGTTTGTGTTTAGAATGTAGTAACATTCACCACTGGCAACTTTAGCGATACATCACACAAACCTTCGTTACCAGGTCAGAACACACACACACACATACAAAGAAATGTAAAAAAGTACAAATAAATGAGTATTTATACTTTTATTTCCATATTTCAGAAATAAAAGTATACATTTTTTTTTGTATGTATTTTTATGTATTGAATGTATTTATTTATGTATTTTTTGCTTCTTTTTTTTACATTTCTTCGCATATTTATTTATGTTAATATTTATTTTTAATTAAGTCAGCTTTGGCAGACATACAAAGAAATGTAAAAAAGTACAAATAAATGAGTATTTATACTTTTATTTCCATATTTCAGAAATAAAAGTACACATTTTTTGTATGTACAGTATTTTTATGTATTGAATGTATTTATATATTTTTGCTTTTTTTTTACATTTCTTCGCATATTTTTTATGTATATATTTATTTTTAATTAACCCATAGATAACGTCACTGAAAGTGTAATAAAAATATGAGTATTAATTCATAACCTTTCAGATATTGATGAGTGTCACGAGGGCGACCCTGGCCCTTGCGGTTACCATGCCAACTGCACAAACACACCCGGATCCTTCCTGTGCAGCTGTTTCCGTGGTTACCTGATGAGTGCGCAGGGATGTACAGGTTTGCATAGGAAACTCAACATAAGCACAAACTAGCGAAACTAGCTAGTGTACGTCAAAGCAGACGCTAATGTTAGCGGTGTCAGCTGGTGTTCACGAGCTTTAAACACTAGATTATGCGTAAATGACAGGATTGTGTTGTTTGGTGTGTGTGTGTTGCAGATGTCGACGAGTGTGTGTTAGCATCAGTGACGGGTCTGCAGGCGTGTGGAAGCGGAGCCGAGTGTAAAAACACACCGGGATCTTTCACCTGCTCCTGTCCGGCGGGATTCGTGCTGGCGCTCGACGGACACAACTGTGTCGGTGTGTGTGTTTGAGAATTAAACATTACTATCCCATGAGGCCACATGAGAGGATTTATCAATGGCAGAGAAGTGACAGAAATGAAGCCGTAGGTCACATGACAGAAACAAAATGGCAGATGTTGTACATGTTCTCTGACTCCACAGACGTCGACGAGTGTAATTTCGAGGAGAGCTGTCGGAGGGAACTGGGTAATGTGTGTGTGAACACAGAGGGAAGCTACACATGTGTGTGTCAGGCTGGATTCAGAGAGGACCGGGCCGCGTGTGTCGGTGTGTATCGTTGTGTTATTAACGTGTGTGTGAACTGCTGATTCATGATTTTCTCTGTCTGAAATTAATCTAGAATAAGGTGTATTAGTGTGTGTGTGTGTGTGTGTGTGTGTGTGTCTTTTCAGATATCATTCTTAAAAAAATGTCATTCATGATTTACTACTAATATAATTCAAAGCACACTGCCCGTAACCACAGTATTTGATATATTTTTAGTCTGCAGAGTATAACTCAAGTCAGATTTCTGCTTCATTTCTGTTTATTTCTACATGAATGATGTGCTGTCGTGTAGATGTGGATGAGTGTGTGGAGGAGGAGCGTGTGTGTGTCGGTCGGGGGGAGTGTGAGAACACACCGGGCAGTTACAGGTGTGTGTGTCAGCGTGGTTACCGTGGCAACGGCACACAGTGCACAGGTGAGTGACATCACATTGCCATCTGATGCAGGGTTTGTGAGGGGGCGTGGCTAACTGAGTGCATTGGGCCCCGCCCACTTTTTTTCAGTGGCGTTGGTTCTGGTCCATTAATTTCTTCCATATGGGGATTTTTTAAAAAGTGTTCGTTAAAGCATTATAAGCTGTGACCATCTATGAGGAGAATAAAAACAATACAAACGTTGATTTAAAGCAAAAAAAATCGGACAAGAATAAAAAGGTACAAAACTGTGAACTTAACGGGTTTAGTGAGGGACAGAACTACAATCCCATGAAGCATAATGAAGTTAAAAACTACACATTTAAAAATGTTGAATGTATATTTCAAAATATACATATATATATATTGTCATTTTATTATTTTGAGAGTGTGTGGTAATTTTAAAGTAATTTTTTAAAAATCAATTTCCCTGTGGAGAAAATGAATGGAGTTTTGCACTGGAGTTTTTATTTAAAAAATGTCAAATTAAAATAAATAACCAAAACTAATACCATTAAAAAAAAAAAAATTGTTACTTAAAATAAATGTTAGCTGAAATAATTATATTTTTAAAAAACTCAACTCATTTAATTTTCATTTAGTTTAACTTTATGTACTAAAATAACAAGAACTAAAATACAAATTTAAAACTATATAGACATAAAACAACTAATAAAAATGACATAATTGACTGATAAAAAAAATATATAATATAAAAATAAGAACTAATTCAAGCTATTAATAAAGTATATCAGTAACACGATTATTTAATGAACTAACAATGAATAATACTTCTACAGCATTTATTAATCTTAGTTCAAGTTAATCTCAACATTTACTAATACTTTTAAGATCTGTTTACATTAGTTCATGCACTGTGAACTAACATGCACAGTAACTAACAATAATTAATGGCTACACTTTATTTTAAGGTGTCATTGTTACAGTGTAATTATATATTTAATTAACTACATGTACTTACTCTAGGGTTAGAGTTGGATTTGGTTAGTTGTGTGTAATTATACATAATTTACCATTATTACTATAGTAAGTATATGTAACATGTGATAAGGAACCCAGTATGTAAATGAAGCAAGGGTGTCGAGTTACATTCAAGATATTTTAAGGCATGAAGAATTGTTTTCACAGGAAAACACATTTAAATATGTCATTTTGATGATCAAAGATGAGTTTTAGGGGATAAAATGATTGACTACATCATCAATATTAGATCTGAGAGCTGATTAGCACTGAATCTGTTACTGCCGCAGATGTAAACGAGTGTTTGAGCGGCGATCACGGCTGTGACGGCAACGCTCGCTGCGGGAACGTCATCGGATCGTATTTCTGCCAGTGTCTTCAGGGATTCAGCGGAGACGGACACTCCTGCTACGGTCAGTGTGGGATCCGGATGATGATGATGAATAGGGATTTACATAAATTACCATAAACGATCATTTAAAGGTGCACTATGTAAGAATATCCAAACAACAGTAGGCCAATGTTATTTCTTTTGTTTAGTTGATTACTTACAATATCTTAAATGTTTCCAACTATTTGTAAATCGTGAGAAAATTGCGATTGTAACCAAGGAAACGGGGCGTGTGAGCGGGGGTGAGAAGTCGCCAGTCAATGACATCATATCCGCGTGACTCTCGGTTTCCGCTCGCACTGCCATAGTAACCATGGCGACAGACATGGACAACTGAGTTAGCCTAGCAGGACGCTCACACTGTTGCTGTTTTATTCAAACATTTTGGACCATAACAAGCAGACTTTGAGACAAAAAGAGGACTAGAACGAGGATCAATTTAATATTCGAGATGCCGAGAGCTCCGCCTCCGTGACTAACGTCCACATGACAGACTCGCGAGTGGCTTCTCTTCCGGGAGTTTTATTGATTAAATTATCAACAATTAATGACTTGATCATTGATTAACGTGGCTCTTGTGATTGGCTTGTTCAGATGTGGACGAGTGCGCTCAGGATAACGGATTCTGTCAACACAACTGCACAAACCAGCTGGGAACGTACAGCTGTCACTGTAGAGCCGGATACACAATCACTGCAGACCAACACAACTGTTCAGGTACACACACACTCACACACACACACACACACACACACTCTCTCATACCGGATACACAATCACTGCAGACCAACACAACTGTTCAGGTACACACACACTCACTGACACACACACACACTCTCTCTCTCACACACACACACAAAAATATAAGTATTTTCAGTTCAGTTTACTTTATTACAGTTTATATATTAATTTAATGTAGTTCTTTTCAATTCAGTCGCACTTCATTCAGTGTAACTCGGTTCAGTTGATTCACTTCAGGTGTGTGTACTCGTCTCCTTGTGTACTTTATTAGCATGACACCCACCGGTGTATTTGTACTGCCAAAACTGTATTTATTTATGGCCTGTGTGTGTGTGTGTGTAGATGTGGACGAGTGTGTGAGCAGTTATGACACATGTGAACAGACCTGCACGAACACAGTGGGATCGTTCCTGTGCTCGTGTGGAGACGGGTACGAGCTTCACATCGACGGACACAGCTGTGTGGGTCAGTGCCCTCACACTTCACATCACACACACACACGTAGGGCCCTATAATTTCCGTGATGACAGAATCGCGGAATTGTCCAATTAACGCGGAATCTAGTATTACAGTTTTTCTCGATTGTTTGTCTTTACACTTAAATTGCAGTTCTAAAACACACTTTTTTCAAAACACTACACACAATTCTCTGCATTTGGCACAATTTTCATGCAGAAAATCTCGTTTTCACGAGGAACACACTGCCATTCAGATATTCACACTGACTCGTCACATGGGCAAACACCCGTCCCACAGTTTTACAATTAGCGATCAGAGCTTTAGCATAAAATGCCAAAACCGAAGAGAGGATGCAGCATAGATATTTTTTTTATTTCTTTTTTTACTGTAACAGCATAAGAAATTCTGTTGTTTTGTATGTAGACCACTGTGTGTGCAACTTTGTGTTGGTTGGGGTGTACAAAATGTGCGATCTATCTCCCATTGATTTTGTGGGAAAAATAAAATATATACATATATATATTTGTTACCGTGTATTTGTGTGTTCTGTGTATAAAAAACAAAACTAAAAACTCAAAACAAAACTCTTTTTACAACTAAAATAATAGTAATGGGTAAAAAAATAACTGATTTCCTAAAAATTAAAACAGAAAAAACGGAATTTGCAAAACTTAAAACGGAAAAAAACGGAATTTGCAAAACTTAAAACGGAAAAAACGGAATTTGGGAAAAAATAAAACGGAATTTGGGAAAAAATAAAACGGAATTTGGGAAAAATTAAAACGGAATTTGGGAAAAAATTAAAACGGAATTTGGGAAAAAAAAAACGGAATTTGGGAAAAATTAAAACTGAATTTGGGAAAAAATAAAACGGAATTTGGGAAAAAATAAAACGGAATTTGGGAGAAAATAAAACGGATTTTATAGGGCCCTACACACGTGAAAGAAAGAAAACACAGTGAAAGTGGTTTTTGATTTAAAATTCTTACATATTGTACCTTTTAAAGAGTCTTCTGTTTTCTGTGTGTGTGTTTGTGTGTTTTACAGACATCGACGAGTGTAAACTCCAGAACGGGGGCTGTTCTCACGAGTGCTCGAACACAGCCGGCGGTCACGCGTGTCACTGTCCCTTCCCTCTAATCCTGGACCGCCACAACACAACCTGCGTCAGTACGTCATGCGTGTGTGTGTGTGTGTTGTAGAGGATGCGGACTATAATCCCACACACTTTGAAAACACACACACTCTCTCTCTCTCTCAGACGTGAGCTCGTGTGCGCTGAGGAACGGCGGATGTGATCAGATCTGCTCTGTGGGTTCAGAAGGGCTCGTTCAGTGCAGCTGCAGGGCAGGATGGGAGCTGGACACCGACCAAAGGACCTGCGTTGGTAACACACACACACACAATTTGATTTATAATGTTAATTTTATAATATAACCAAAGTAAAGCAGCATCTTTAATTATAATAAAATAAAATAAATTATAAAACGGTTAGTTCCAATCCTTGATTCTGATTGGTCAAGAGCTGTGCTTTATTCACGATAAAACACGGCTATGACCGCTTCACCCAACGGTTCTATTTATCACTGCGCCCTTAGCAACACCCTTAGCAACCACACATATCAACATAGGCTAAACATAGAAAAAAAAAACGTAAGAATTAAAAAGGCTAAAATGTTTAAAGTAAATTTCGATTTACTAGGTGGCATGACGATGGATAAGTGCTTTGAGGAACAATTTGGAGAGACTTCTACAAATACGAAACTCTGCTTCGCGTCGTCCCTAACAACGCCCTTCAGCCGTTACTTATTCACGATACAGCACAGCCTCTCGTACCTTATTGCTTACATAATACATAAAATACCACATTTTTATAGTATAATCAAACAAAATGTTTAATAATGAAAGTTTTCTGTGGCTTAAACATGCTTGCAACGCCAAGGTCGTGGGTTCGATTCCCAGTGAAAGCTTGAACTGATCAGAATGTAAATGTGAACCTTGAAATGCAATAAGAAGCTTTGAATAAAAGTGTCTGAAAATATAATAGAAGAGATAATGATACTGCTAATAATAATGTTTCAGACTCTCCTCAGCTGACGTCTCTCTCTCTCTCTCTCTCTCTGCAGACGTGGACGAGTGTGTGAGTTTTAACGGCGGCTGTGAGCAGGTGTGTGTGAATCTCGCTGGCGGTTTTAATTGCAGCTGTCGCTTGGGCTTTGAGTCGCGTAAAGACGACCCGACAAAATGCCAACGTGAGTGTCACACACACACACACACACTAACTTAATCCCTAAACCTACCCATCACACACACACACACAAACTTAAAGCTACAATACCTAAGATTTTATGCCGCTAGAGGGCGCTACATTCAAAACAACAATAACGGCTTTGCTTGATGACGCCGTGGAGGAACGCGGCATGATGGGAACTGTTGTTTTCAACTCCACCGTGGATAAATAAGTCAGACGGGAATCGAAAATTAGTTGTCATGGATGAGGTAAAGTTCGATTTCTATAAACGTTGCGTTTAATGACATGCTTGTTTTTCCTTAAACTGAAACAACCGCATGAAAAGTCAGGTTTAAAAGTAAATTAGTTACTGTCCGAGTCACTGGACGACGCTATGGTGGAGAGGGTTTGAAGGGGCAGGTCTCTTGCAAGGAGTTGACGTGGCTGGTCCTCCTTTTTGATAATTTTATAAAAATAAAAAAAATCTATTTAATGTACATTCGACACATCTTTTCATGTCGTGTAAGTATTCAACCACAGCTACAGTTACAGGTGGTCGCACACCGGACGAGAAGCTCAGCGATGCCTTCAAAATCCTGCTGCGCCACAGAGCGCCATTTACATAGTTTTATATAAAATTTTAATTATTTTTGTCTCAAATCGTTGCTAATGGATCGTGACTTCGCCCTATGCTGCAATATGCATTTAGTTTTGCATTAATTTACAGAAATCAGCTGCTTGAATGACAATTACTGATGTTATTATTAGATTTTTCAGGTGAGATTCGTGAACGGATGATCTGAGGTAAAGTTTTCAGAATGCAGACTCAGCAACGATTAATTGTACACTACAATTATAACATAGAACAGACATTATCTTCCTTTCATGTCATTAAGCATAACAATATTGCTGGCCATACACTGATGAGAAAGTGCGCGATTTGGTTGACCCGTTCGTTGACGTTTGCGTTTATGAGACTTGTCTTTGTCGACAGAACTGGGTGCAATCGCTAAAGAATAATTGAGCTCCATTTCATAACAAATGCGCGAAACAAGCTGACGTTTGTTGCTTGTTATACCATGGTCTGGGTGAATACTCGATTCTGATTGGCTGCAGGGTGTCCGTTAAAAAGTGATAGAGGACACCTAGTAAAGTAGTTCTGGTGAAACTGCCTGTTTACCATTCGAAATTAATAAATAAATGCGCTGCCTACAACGGCTGTGAGTAACCATAGCAACAGGCAGTCACATGCTCTATCATCTAACGTTAGATATTATAGCCTAATACAACAATGAGCGACTTCGTGCTATTTCTTTTAACATTTATGGAGAATATGGCAACTTTGACGACTGGTATGCTGCTGAAGAAAGAAAAAATGTCAATAAAACGGAGGAAATTACACCGCTGCTGCGCTGCTCCATTGAACTCTATTGGTAACGACGTAACTTGCGACCATAGTTGGATAACGATGCTTTCGGGAAACGCACCCCTGAATGAGACCCTGCGGGAGTTTTACGCAGCTGTCCAGACAACCAAGGCAGGAGAAGGCTGAACGTTACAGCGTTTCAAGCCTAAGGAGCCTGAGGCAAATGACCCTCTCTTTGATCTGATTAATTTATTGCCCTCTATAACGTTAAGCGCAAATCGCTGGAGCTCAGAGCTAATTGTTTTTTTATTGTTGTTTGATTAATTGTTTTATGTGTAATAAAAAAAACTATGCCTACCTTTGTGTTTCATGAAAAAAAATGCATTTGTGAACCTGAAGGGATACGAGCTAAGCGGACTATAAATATCTCCGGTTGCTAGATAAACAGTCAGTCAAGTTATTATTTGTAAAAACTAGATTTAGCCTAATTAAAATATAAACTAATGTTTTATTTGGCAAGTGACCATGGTATAAGCGGGTTAATGCCCTCCGAGGTGTCCATTGTCAGGTTTTAATGGACTTCGGCGGAGGCAACCGTCCTCCGCTGCGCGTCGGCCGGTTTACGCCTCGCCGTCGTCCATTAAAACCTGACAATGGACACCTCGTCGGGCATTAACCCTTACATAGACGCTAACGCACAACTACAACTACCGCATTTGTCCAGGACTACACGCAGTACGAGCGGAAACCGAGGTAACGCGGATATGACGCGATTGACTGGCGACTCCCAGCTCACACGCCCCGTTTCCTTGGTTAAAATCTCAATTTTCTCGCGATTTAAATATTGTTTGACACATTTGGTAGTCCCTCCAGAAAAACGCGATTATGCGATCGCTGAATTCAATGCAAAATCAGCCAAAGTCCGCATATTTATTCGGGGGCCGCATTTTTTCAAATACGCCGCACTTTCGCCGCATAATGTCGATTTCCGTGCAAAATATGCGGGGTTTATAATAATAATAATAATACATTTTATTTATTTGGTGCCTTTCTGGACACTCAAGGTCGCCTAATTTGCATAATTTCATCAAGGTCGCCTAATTTGCATAATTTCGCTCAAGGTCGTCGGTTTACATAATTTCATAATCCTCGCATTTTCGTTGCAAAAAAAGTCACATGTATCTTAGCAGAAAGTTGAAAAATGTTGCGTTTGCTTCACACAAGAGCAGCCATTTCCCCGTTTCCATGGGAACGTTATGAAGTGACGAAATTACGTGACGATATTTACGATAACACTGCACAGAGCTCTTAAAGGGGCCACACCTTATTTACACTCGTTACAGTCTGAAATAAAACAAGATGAGAAATTAAATATTCCCAGCACTTTCTATGATGTAGTATGCTTGCTTATCAAAGGAAGTAATAAGAAATGACTCTTACATTAACAGGATGTTGGGGGAATCACTTTTTTTCTCTTTTTCATCAAACCGCAATTTTTGCAAATTCCTGCAATTTCATCGCATAAAATTGCATAAATATCCCACATATTCCATCGCATTTTTAAAGAAAACGGGCCGCGTAATCGATCGATTTTTGCCCGCAACAATCACAAAAAAACTCCGCGTTTTTCTGGAAGGACTGAATACTATTTTGGTTAATGTTATATATAAATCGCACATTTTTTCACAAATTTTTGGAAATTACCACCACAAAATCACTCATTTTGATCGCAAAAATAACACAAAAAAAATCGTGAAATCCTGGAGGGACTGATTTGGAATATTGTAAGTTATCATCTTAACTAAATATATAACACTGGCCTTGTGATTTTGGGATATTTTAATGCAAAAATCTTAGGTATTCCACCTTTAATCCCTAAACCTACCCATCACACACACACACACACACACACACACACACACACACTTATTACTCAGTACAGCGTACCATAAAACCACCCAATGCTCACACACACAAGATCCAGAACTCCCTCCTCATGACCGTATGTGGTTTTCCAGCGGTGTGTGAGCCTGCGTGTCAGAATGACGGAGTGTGTGTGGCTCCGAACACCTGCGACTGTCCTGCCGGATATCCTGGAGCGGGATGCTCAGGTAAAAGCCTCAGAGCAACACATGGGGATTTTTTACATTTTCATACGACTTACATAAAAATTGCATTCACGTGAATTGTGTAAAGCAGAAATGTTTGTCTTTGTGATTCTGTATCAGTCTGATGTCATCAAAAGAGAAGCTTTAAGGGTTCACCATAATAATAATAATCCTACCTGCACAACAGAAAATGTACTAATAGTGATGATGATGTATTTGTTCTCCAAAGGAAATTTGTTTCCACCATAGATGCGTACATAATACAAACACACATGTATAACATATTAAGAACATATAAACATCACAGGGAACTACACTGCGACCAAAATGGGTCTTTTGAAATCCCATTGCGACCCTAATTTTTAATGGGTCGCAAATGTATCACTGACTATTTTGACGGGTCTGTTTTTTTTAGTTTCTTTCGGGTTGTATTTAATCTTCTAAAACCTGTCGGATCGTCCGCTTTTTGTCCCGCCAAAGTCTTTTTTGATCGCGGTGAGTGTTGTAGAGTAGAATGACGGATGCGTTTGACAGGGCGCAAACGAGCTGAGAGAGAGAGAGAGAGCCGCGCGCGCACTATCACGTCTTCACACAACACAAGCGCTGTCTTGCTCTCTCTCTCTATCGCGCGCATATTATTCAAATGACATGATAGTAAAAGGTTTGTGTCTTTATAATAGGCATGCTAATCATAATCATATAGGCTACCATCTGAGCCTGCATGGCGGCAGGAAAAACACGCAGAGATGTAAGACACCGTGTCTCTTCCTTACACCAAAGGTAGATTTGCGGTCTGGTGTTCGGCTGATAAACTCTGCCATGAGCTAACTACTTATATTGCTCGCGCTGATATTGACATCGACTAACGTTATATGATCACTAGCAGTTTTTTAGACTAACGTTAGTTTTTTCATAATCATAATCGCGTGATTCGCGTCAAGACACCTGATTGGCTAATACTACACACTGAAGATAAATTAAATGTTTTATTAAATAATTACTGAAAATATCCCTCTCTTCATCCCACACCCCAAACATGACATACAAAATGTTGTGGAACAAAAACAACCAGAGATATATTTATAAGCTATCATGTTATTGTCATCACAGCTTTCCAACAGTCCTGCGTATGATTCTACATTGATTAAAAAAGAAAATCAAATGTGTTTTAATGGTAATTATTTTATACGGAAATCATGTATTTATAATTTAGATGAGAATAAAGTTAGGGTTAGTTAAAATTAAGGAAAACAAATATATTGATCTGAAATATTGCAAATGAATTTTACATTCATTCAAGTACAATTACCAAACATATCAAGGTCATTTTCACTTTTTATTAATTTAATTAATAAACTAATTATATAAAACTATTGTCAGTGCACTACAAATAAACTGGTATGCCTTTATTAATAAAACTTAAACAATTTAAAAAATACGAGGCTTAAGACATTTATAAAAATGCCATTTTTGTTTTGCTTTTCACTCCATTGTACCGAATCGTACCGAACCGTCTGAATGTCTGAACCAAAGTATGAACCCGACCCAACCGTGACTTCTGTACCGTTCCACCCTTAATGCAGTTTCATTATTATTCATTACTATCCAGAATGCGGCGGCTTACTATAAATAATTTGTGTTTTGCGCCAGTAACTGAAAAAGTTAGTAGCGCAAGTGCCAGCAGTGGAAAAGGTTAGTGTAGTTCCCTGACATCTACAACAAACAACACAGAAAAAAATCGTATCAGAGGCTCGCACACTATTAATGTCTGTTTTCATTTCTTTATAGATTGTAATTTCTGTAATTTAATAAAAGAAAAATGACATTGTATTACTAAAATATATATATATTTAGTAGTAGTATAATTAATTGTTAATATTGCAATAGTATGGATGTACTGTAAAAAAAAAACGTAATATATACAGTATTACTTCTATTGTAATTGAAACTTGCCGGAACAGAAAGTTATTAAAGACATCTTTAAAATAGTGCGAGTGACGACAGCGGCTCAACCTTAAGATTATCAAGCGGCGAGAACACACAAAACACACAAAAACAACGACACTTTCTGTGGCCTCGAGTGAGTTCTCGTAGTGTGACAGCGCACCGCTTCTGGTGGACGTCACACGCAGGCTCACGATTGGCCAGCATCACACACATGACCAGCGTCGGCCAATAGTGAGCCTGCGTGTGACATTACGAATTTTCATTTTTGGGTGAACTAACCCTTTAAAGCATAAATAACATTATAAGTGCCTTTAGTGTCACTTCTGAACAATTGAATGCATTCTTGCTGAATAAAATGAATAAATGGTTGTTGAACGGCTGTGTGTGTGTGTGTGTGTGTGTCAGCCATGTGTTCTCCACCCTGCGCTCACGGCGGCTCCTGTATGAGGTGGAACGTGTGTGTGTGTCCTCCGGGCTGGACGGGCGACGGCTGTCACACAGGTAACATGACCGTATCTCTCTCTCTCACACACACACACACACACACTGTAACTGTATGTGTGTGTGTGTGTCTCAGCTGTGTGTGAGCTGCCGTGCGGTAACGGTGGACGGTGCGTCGCTCCAAACACCTGCCAGTGTCCCTCAGACTACAGCGGACCACAGTGTCTCACACGTGAGTGTGTGTGTGTGTGATTTTAAAGAGGCCATATGATGCTTTTTAATGTTTTCCATTTCCTTGAGTGTGTGCTGTCTCTGTTTGTGCATGAATAAGATGTTGTGGAGACGCCGTGTGAGATAATCTGCTTCGGTTGGCCTTTTGAAAACATGAAATGAGGAGATGATCTCAGAGATCATCCGCATCATCAGAATGTATTTATAGTTGCTATAGAAACTCGCTATTATGGCGAGGCGTTTCCTTTCCGACGCATGCTTGAGGTGTTTGACCAATCACAGCGCACTGGGTGTGCTGGCCAATCAGAACACTGGGCTTCTCAGGAGGAGGGGCTTTGCAGAAATCCGGCAGACTGCGAATAGAGGCGCTGCAGTAACGTAACGTTTGTGAAGATAGTGTGTTAACCCTAAAACCGTATTCTGGACAAATGTGGGCAAAATAGTTTTGATTTATTTTTGAAAAATACTTCCCTTGATCTGAGTGGTACAAGACTTGGCTACTTTTCCTAAGTTTGCCTCCTCAACACACAAATTTTTTTTGGACTCAATTCTACAATTTTAAGAGGGTGAAAAAAAACTCCCTAATCTTGTATTTGGGTCAAAAATGGACACCCATAGAAATGAATGGGAAAAACTGTAATTTAGAGCTTTCTAAAATAAGACACCAGGTGACCACAAAGTCACTTCATCTTTAGGTTTTAGCTCTAAGAACTTAATGGAATGATATTTTAATGTAAAAAATTAAAAAATAAATAAATAAAATAGAAAAATAAGCATAATTTACATATAAAATATGGTACTTTTTGAAGTAAATAAATTCAAAAATACCCCCAAAATAAAAAAAAAAACACCATAAATGGATAGACAAAACTTTATCGAAGACAGTGATATAACATTTATAATAAATAAAAATTAGGATCAGTCCTCTGTGCCCACATTTGTCCACAATTACAGGATTAAGGGCTGTAAAGTGAATACAGTTTGAGGGCTACAGCATGATAAGCAGTATTTTCTGTGTGTGTGTGTTTACAGCTCTGTGTTCTCCTCCCTGTGTGAACGGCGGGAGGTGTGTGAACATCAACACCTGCAGCTGTGTGGACGACTGGACAGGAGCTCGCTGTCAGATAGGTGACCAAATACACACACACACACACTCACACACTCTCACTCACTCATACACAGTGGTGGAATTTAAGTACAAATACTTTGTTACTTTACTTAAGTACATTTTACACGTATCTTTACTTTACTTAAGTAGAATAAATAGTGCATACATTTTGCAGCAATTATTATACTTTCTACTCCACTACATTTCTACAACTTCTGTTACATTTTCGTTACATTTTCTGATCAGTTTTTCCCCCGCCAAAACGTAATCTGACCGTCCGTTCGTTGCACGTTTGTCTCACCAGTGACGTTTGGTTGCCATAGATACGTCAACTAAATGCGTCTCGCACGCAGTGTGTTTATCGTGCAATACATATGCGAAAATGTGTTTTTACGTGCATAGGAAACACGCCGTGTGTAATATACGTTTGGTTAGGATTATGGCAAGCCAAGAGGTTCAGAATTACACCATAAATGAATCGTGTTTACTGCCAAACATAGTTATTAACATATAGTAACCGGATAAGCATGGTTTATATTGCCTAATTGCAAGCTTGTTTCAGAAATGGTGACAATTTTTTCCCATCATTATTGAACATCATTATAGGAGTATTAGGATGAATGAGTTAGAATTAAATGTTTTATTAATCATTAGAAAATAGTCATTAAGAGAATCAATTGTTATGCAAATACTTTTACTTTTAATACTTAAAGTACATTTAAAATCAGGTACTTTTTCCTTAAGTATGGTTGTCATTGTGTTACTTCTACTTTTACTAAGTAAATATTTATCTGGGTATTTGTA